GGCACCCACTCAAGAGGCAGTGCACAGAGGAGGCGGGGTAGAGTAGCTTGCTGGAGGAGGCAGGGCTGGGAAGTGCCAAACACCTGTTTCGCTAAAAAAAACCAAACCAGCACGAACTGCCGAGCTGGCGGTTCATGCCTAACTCTATTCAGGCCTTAAATTTTATCTCACAAAGTCCTGTAGAGTTGCGTTTTAAGGGAGACATGCAACATTTGTCTACTGCTCTTCCTGCGTTTGCGTTTAGTAGAATATCTAAAGTAGGCTCATACCAGTCACCTGCTCAGGATGCTTACACTGAGAAGCCATATTCCAGCTTCCCACATCTGAGGAACCCAATTTGCATCAATGCAAATTAGGCAGCCTTGTTTGCATAATATGTACATTTTCATATTATGCATGTTAATGTGGATTTCTTAATATTGAACAGATAAAGTACACTACTTAGTACAGGTACACTGTTTTCTACCAATATGGTACCATTTATTTAGTAATTACTGAACTAAACATCTTCAGGAAAGCTTTCCCTCAGTGCCTGCCTGCCTGAGTTGTTGTTGTTTAGTTGTTAAGTCTTGTCTGACTCTTCGTGGCCCCATGGACCAGAGAACGCCAGGCCCTCCTGTCTTCCACTGCCTCCGGGAGTTGGGCCAAATTCACGCTGGTTGCTTCGGTGACACTGTCCAACCACCTCATCCTCTGTCGTCTCCTTCTCCTCTTGCCCTCACACTTTCCCAGCATCAGTGTCTTTTCCAGGGAGTCCTCTCTTCCCATGAGATAGCCAAAGTATTGGAGCCTCAGCTACAGGATCTGTCCTTTCAGAGCTTCTTCTACTGACAACCAAATACCTTGTTATCTTGGTTGGTATTGAACAACTAACTGGCTGATCAGATATGTTAGGATGGCAGATATGGTGCTGCCCGTTTCGAAAACTGTGTTTTAAAAATGTTTTGTGACTTAGCAGTGTTTTAATATTATCATGAATTAATTGTGTTTTGTTTAAATGACTTCCTGCATATTTTATTTGAACCTACCTGTTTTTAGTCATATTTGTTTTAATCCTGCCAAAAAGCTACCTTGATCCCAATTCTTGAGGAAGGGCAGGGTATAATAATAATCAACCTGTGCTGTTGAGTCCATTCTGACTTACGACAACCCTTTTTAGTGATTTCCAGGTAGAGAATACTCAGAAGTGCATTACCATTCTCTTCCTCCAGGGGTGCCCTGGGACTGTGCAGCTTGCCCAAGGCCACCCAGGCTGGCTTTACTCATAGGAGGCACAGTGGGGGAATCAAACTCCCAACCTTTGCCTCTGCAGCTAGAGAGCTGAACCACTGAGCTATCAGGCCAGCTTCTGGCAGGATATATTGCAAATAAATAAATAAAGCAACAAGCAACAGCAGCACGGTAGCCAGCAAGGAGGGAAGTGGAAACTGAAGGCATAAGACACATACCTGGACAATTTAGTTATGAAGGAAGTTGGCCCCAGGACAGAAGAATGCGACAACTCTGCTGTTTTTTTTCCCCACCTTATGTTGTACCTCCAGCTCAGAGCTTTACTCATCTCGGCTCTTCGATTCTCGCAAGGGAGTTATGTGTATGTGTGTGCCTCATGTAAATGAATGTGGTCATTTGAGAAACACCAAATGCTTACAGTAATTAGGGATTACACACCTCCTTATAAAGGAGGGCGTAAACAGGAGCAGACCTGTTTGCATAGCCCAAAGCAACGGCCTCATCATCCTTGCAATTTCGGATAAGGTATCTTTGGAATGGCTACCTTAGCCAGCAAATAAACACACAGTCAAAAGGCAGTCTCGGATATTCCTCCACCCACTGTTGTGTGATGAAGGCGGACAGCACCACGTTTCTGGAGAAATCTGTCTTCCAAACTCACAAAATGTGATTAACTCCCTCATCCCATTCTGATGCCGAAATGAACCCACAAAGATGGACTTCATGGGCACCCAGACGGCCTTTTTTCCTTCACCGATGCAGGAGGGCACTTCCCGGTATTCTGCCTCTCGCACAGTCCCCACTTCGCTTTACCCAAATTCCATATTATTCATTAAATTTTGTTTCAGTTTATTATTTGTACCCGGCTTTCCCCCTCCCCCGAAGACCCAAGCCTGCTTATCGTATCAAAACACTCAATTTATAAGGCTAGATATTACAAGACATCATTGTATAAAAAGAACAAAACAATGTCGTATTAAAACTAGGATATAAAAAGAGTACATTTATATGACCAGAGCATAGACAGAGTTCTGAATCCAGTCCTCTGAAGATGCCGGCCACAGAGACTGGCGAAACATTAGGAAGAACAACCTTCAGAACACAGCCAAAGAGCCTGAAAAAGAACCCCACAACAACCATTAGATCCCGGCCGTGAAAGCCTTTGAGAATACAGTGTATTTACTGTATTTATTTATTTGATTGATTGATTGATTGATTGATTGATTGATTGATTGATTGATTGATTGATTGATTGATTTGTATACTGCCCATCTGGCAACCCAGGCCCCTCTGGGCGGTTCACACGGCCCAGTAAAACAGACAGTATAATAACAAAACCGTGTAAAATGATTTTATAACATACTAATAAAAAAGAAAAGGCATAACAATCCTGTTCAAAAGAAAAGAAACCCGCACAGGCAGGCAGGCAGTCATGAACAGAAAGTCTGCCTGAAGATAAAAGGCCTTTGTCTGCTTGCAGAGGGACAGCTAAGAGGGGGCCAGATTGGCCTCCAGTGGGAGGCAGTTCCAAAGTCTGGGAGCAGCCACAGAGAAGGCCCTGTCTTGCATTCTCACCAAACTGACCTGTGAGGGTGGTGAGACCAAGAGAAAAGATTATCCTGAATATCCTAAGATCTGGGTAGGCTCATAAAAGGAGGCACCAGTCTTTTAGTTAGTTTGGACCCAGATTGTTTACGGTGTTTATAGGTCAAAACTAGGATTTCTAAGTGAGCTCAGAAGCAGGCCAACAGCCATTGGAGCTGTTGTAACAAAGCAGTTATGTATGTTCCCTGTCACCAGCACCAATAAACGGTCTTGCTGCAACATTTTGGACCTGCTGAAGTTTCTGAACACTTTCCAAAGGCCGCCCCTCGAATAGCGCATTACACAATAATCCAGCCATGATTTAACTAAGGCATGTATCACTGTGGCTCGATCGGACCTTCCCAGGAACGGGCACAGCTGACACACTAATTTTAACTTTGTCACTGTGGCTCGATCGGACCTTTCCAGGAATGGGCACAGCTGACACACTAATTTTAACTTTCCAATGTACTTCTGGCCAGGAACACATCCAAGGTGCAAAACTGTGTTCAGGGGGAGTGTAACCCCATCCGGCACAGGCTGAATCCCTAATTCCCCATTCTGCAGGAGCCCCTCTTCATTTTAATAAACCTCATCCGTTACTGACATCAGATACAGGCTTAGAACTAAAACGGCTTCCTCGAAATTAGATGGGAAGGAGAGACAGAGTTGGATCACGTTTGCATATTGATGATACGGAACCCCAAAACTCTGGACAACCCCTCCTAGCAGTTTCATGCACATATTAAACTGCATATTTGAAGACATCACAAGCCATGTCTAGTAGTTGTCATCAATGGGGGGGAGCAGATTTTAAATTGGATTTTAAGTTTCACTTGGATTTTTTAAATTTTTTATTATGCCAATAGGCAAACACATGAGAAGTGGGTCTTTTGCAAAGCTAATGGCTTTTAATTGCCCGTTAAAAAAGTCACTCGCAAACACTTTACATTATAAAAGAGGTAACTTGCAACAGTATACCATTCCTCAGGAAATCCATTTCTCTCCCATTGCTAGAGGGTAGCAGGGCAGATAGGGTCATAGTCCTTTCTAGTAGAAAGTCCCCAGAATTGGACCCCATGAGCCCTGCTTTCACTACCTCATTGGTTGTTTCACAACATTCCCTCCTTATCGAAAGCCAAGAACTTCCAAAGCCAAAAGGTATGGAGGGTGGTTTGTCTGCCATCCCACACAAAAAGAACTGTGGGAAGCGACAAGAGGACAGGAAGAATGGGATGGTCTTAAGGTCGCTTATCAGCACAATGGTGGTGCTGGAGGAGACTCTTGAGAGTCCCCTGGACTTCAAGGAGAACAAACCTATCCGTTCTGAAGGAAATCAACCCTGAGTGCTCACTGGAAGGACATATCCTGAAGCGGAGGCTCCAATACTTTGGCCATCTCATGAGAAGAGAAGACTCCCTGGAAAAGACCCTGATGTTGGGAAAGAGTGAAGGCAGGAAGAGAAGGGGACAACAGAGGATGAGATGGTTGGACAGTGTCACCGAAGCAACCAACATGAATTTGACCCAACTCTGGGAGGCAGTGGAAGACAGGAGGGCCTGGCGTGCTCTGGTCTATGGGGTCACAAAAAGTCGGACATGACTTAACAACTAAACAACAACAACAATCAGCATGACCAGATGCCACAAAGATTCTATATCCCTCTCTAGGCATTCCAAAAGGCTGAAATTGAAAACAGGAGCCCGGAAAATTGAAGATATGAGCCACGCCCTGGACTTCCCTGCCCTGCCTCCTCCTTCTCTAAGGGTGGGCACCCGTGGGAGGAGGCGGGGCAGGAAATCAGAGACGACCGTGCAACACCTGTGAGCCCGATCTGCTGAACCACACTGAAGGGCTGAACCCTGGTTCATGCCCATTTCTAGCCCTACCTCTTGCCTACCACTGTATTCACGTGAAGGACAGTCTGAAGAGGAGACAGGCTACTACTTGTGAAATGTGATTTCACCCACCCCCCAGAATTTCCCCAGCTGCCGGGAGAGATTCTGCACATAGCAGAAGCTTTCCTCTTAGTCTCTCCCTGCTTCCTGCTTCCACATCAACCCCTTTTGGAACACCTGAATAGGCCCTTCCAATGTGTCCAAAGTACGCCAGGACCATCAACGATCATACCCAGCAGCTCTACAACAGAAATAAAGTTTCAAATGCTCGCATTTCCAAGTACTCACCAAAGTCGAACCTCTTCGCCTCGGGCGACTCTTTCCATTTTCCAAGCGATGTTTTTTCTCAAAGCTCCCGAACTCAACGGCAGAAGGCATTTCGCACACCATTCCCGAAAAGTCCGACATCATGTTTCTCGGCATCCCAGCCTTCCACAGAAAGCTCGGACGTCTTCCAGAAGGGGAGGGTGTGCTCTTGGTTCACTGCCAAGCGTGCATGTAGATAGCTCACATGGAAAACCACTTTGCCATTTCTGTACAAGATGGGAAGGAGGAAAGGGAAAGATAGACACAGAGTCTTCAGCAACAAAAACAGAACGCCTGATGTTTACAGTTCTGAAAGGACATTATTAAAAATTTCAAGCAGTTACTCTGTGACTCGAAGGCTGAGGGATCATAGTTCCACTTTGTATCCTCTTTAGTGACAGACATGCAGCAAACCTAATCACCATTGATTTTTTTTTAAAAAAGACTGCATTGCAAAATATAAACTTAGCGTTAAAATATATATATCGAAAAGGCACCCTATTTTTAAACAGTAAACCAAGTCGGACTGTGCAAAATGATTTTTGCATTTCAAGGCCTGATGATTGAATTCAAAGTTGCATTACGAATGCTTCAATAAAGCACTTCCTCCTCATCTGTGCTTCACAGCCGCAAACAATGTCTAGCTGCAGTTACTCGTGGTTCTGTGATGTCACATCAATTCTGACTTACAGAAACTCTTTTCAGGGTTTTCTCATAGAGAGTACAGTAGCCCCCCATCCGCAGGATCGGTATCCACTTACTCATTTTTCTGCTGCCTGAAAAGACTAAATTTTAAAAAATCCCAGAAATTAGTACAGTATTTAGTATTTCCAGGGTGTGTTTGTCAGAACTGGCCATTAGAGAGAGATAGAGACCAAGTAATATACAGTGGTGCCTCTTTTTGAGCAATATTGTGCTTCCCAAAATGATTATTCCTATGCCATTCGCTGGACAATGTTTAGGTCCTTGCCTTGCAGGACAGTTTTTTCCCCAACCCTGTTTCACAAGACAGTACCCCCCCCATTAGAATATTTTATTTATTTATTTATATCCCACCTAACTGATCGGGGACCACTCTAGGCGGCTACATAAGACCTACTTTTTCATCCCAAAAAAGTAGGGGCAAAAGTGTACGCTACTGGCTTTCCAGGGTCTGCCTCTTGGAAAACCTGCAGCATACACTTTTGCTCTCACTTTTTTGGGATAAAAAAGTAGGTCTTAGTAATTAGTGTGTTCCCATTGTAGGGAAAACATCTTGCAAAGCATTGCCAATGGGGCTATGGTTGTAGATGATAAAGAATGGAGAAAATAGCCAGAAACCAAAGAATAAAGAAATTGCAAAAAAGACAAGGAAATCATAAATATAATCCCCTCATTAACACAAATTATGCAGTTGAGTTCCCCACATTTTGGGAAATCACAGGGATCAACAGGACACCCAAAGTACAATGGATGAGCCTCTGCCTGGGAAAACAATTTTTATGATACAGCATTTCCAATGCAAGGTATGAGTTGGAATGGCCCTTGTATCTCCTGCCCCCTTCTGTCCCCTGACCCCCCAAGTCATGGTGACCGCCTGCCTGCACCTCCCACTCAGTACAGGGCTGCACAGCCCCAGTCTTGCCAGAGGCCAAGAGGGCTCCTCAGTGTTTTGGGGTCCCCTGAGGGCCCCCCATCAGGGGCTAAGTGTTCCTCCCACCGTCCTCTTGTGCACAGGTATTAGGATATGCTAATCGTGATCGTTTAGTCGTGTCTGACTCTTCGTGAGTGTATCCCCCATTGTGGGGAAAACATCTTGAAAGGCATTGCCAACAGGGTTGTGGTTGTAAATTTAAATGATAAAGAATGGAGAAAATAGCCAGAAAACAAAGAAATTGAAAAAAAAACCCAAGGAAATCATAAATGTAATCCCTCATTAACACAAATTACACAGTTGAGTTCCCCACATTTGGGGAAATCACAGGGATCAACAGCACACTCAAAGTACAATGGATGAGCTTCTGCCTGGGAAAACCATTTTTATGATACAGCATTTCCAATACAAGGTATGAGTTGGAATGGCGCTTGTATCTCCTGCCCCCTTCTGTTCCCTGACCCCCCACCCATTCCAACTCATACCTTGCATAGGAAATACCAGCTCATAAAAGTGGGTTTCCCAGAGGGAGACTCATCCATTGCACTTTGGGTGTGCAGCTGATCCTTGCAATTTCCCCAAATGTGGGAAACTCAATTGCATAGTTTGTGTTAATGGGGATTGCACTTGTGATTGCTAATCATCATCATTTAGTCGTTTAGTCATGTCTGACTCTTCATGACCCCATGGACCAGAGCACGCCAGGCCCTCCTGTCTTCCACTGCCTGCCGGAGTTGGGTGGAAGTCACGTTGGTTGCTTCGCAGACACTGTCCAGATCCTGATGATATTTTATATTCCATTTTTTCTTTTTAGAGGAGCCTCCTGGTGCAGTGGTTAAATTGCTGTACTGCAGCCAAAACTGTGCTCACGACCTGGGGTTCAAATCCCAGGTAGCCGGCTCAAGGTTGACTCAGCCTTCTATCCTTCCGAGGTCGGCAAAATGAGTACCCAGCTCGCTGGGGGGGGGCAATGTGTAGCCTGTATAATTAAATTGTAAACCGACCAGAGAGGGGTTGTAGCGGTATGGGGCGGTATATAAGCAGGACGCTTTGCTTTGCTTTTTTCTGTGGCAAAGGATCAGGGTAAATGGCGTTACCATTGTCAGGAACCAGGGGGCTGATTTGACTCCTTTTATCCTCTTTCTTTGTTGCTAGAGAGAGAAAGAGGGGTAAGGCCATCTGAGACCCCTTGAAGTTCCAAAGGCAGTGCAGGTGAGGGGATTGCTTTTCCCCAAGATGGTACAGGGAATTGTGTTTTGCAAGACGATGTCTTCTATGGATAATTTTCGAAAGACAGTGAGATCTCAATTGCATAATTTGTGTTAATGGGGGGATTGCACTTGTGATTAACCCTAGATTTTCTAAGTTCCTTTTCATCTGTCTTCTCATCAGGACCTATTTCAAAGCAGCAAGTCTTGGTGATGTTTTATATTCCATTCTTTCTCTTTTTTTCTTCTGTGGCAAAGATCAGGGTAAATGGAGTTACCATTGTCAGGAACCAGGGGGTTGCTTTGACTCCTTTTATCTTCTTTGTTGCTAGAGAAAGAGGGGTAAGGCCATTTGAGACCCCTTGAAGTTCCAAAGGCAGTGCAGGTAAGGGGATTGTTTTTCCTGTTTTGCAAGAAGCTATCTAATTTTTGCAAGACAGTGATTTTTTTCCCAATTGGAACGCATTAGGTTTCTCAAGATGATGTTTTTGCAAGACAGGGAGGCACCACTGTATAGCATTCTGTTCTTCTGTGTTTTTCAACACATGCGGTTGGCTTGGAACCAATCCACAGCAGATATCATGGTCCACTGTACTCAGAAGTGGTTTTTGTTAGTGTAATCTTTGACAGTTTCTCCCTTCCCTTCTTCAGGGGAACACCCTGGGACTGTGCAGCTTGCCCAAGGCCACCCAGGCTGGCTTTACTCATAGGAGGCACAGTGGGGGGGATCAAACTCCCAACCTGTGTCTCCACAGGTTGATACTTAAACAACTAAGTTGTCCAACCAATCTAGTTAGAAATAGGCAGAACGTTATTTAAGAAACACAATCAACTACTGAAGTGGATCAAAGCAGCACTACTGGATCAGACCGGTTAGCCCTATTTGCCTAATCTGTTTCCACAATGGGCTACCAGTTGCTCATGGAAAGCCCACGAACCGAAAATGAGGGCAACACCACTTTGTGGCTCGTCCCCTTCAACAACTAGTATTCACATCCATATGGCCTCTGATATGGGCAGAACAAACTTTCATCCTGGCTAAAATCCGCTTGTTCTCCCTTGATCCGATCGCCTCTTAAAGTCATTCAAGTTGGCAGTCATCGCTACACCTGGTGGTAGGAAATTCCACATTTTACTAAGTAAAAAAATGTTTATTACAGCTAAAGCTGTTTCAGAAACATACAACGCAGTACAGAAAATGCCACGCACGGTATACCATACCTTAAAATAAAAATAACCGGCCAATGAGTTTCTCTATATTACAACTGAGCTCCAGAAGCTGCATAAAATCTGGCCCCTGGATCAGTCATTTGATCATCACGAACAGAAAAGAGAAAAAGAAAGATACAATTCCTCTGATCTTCCCTGTTTTTAAAAGAACGGATTTAATTAAAAACGAGGGAAATATCATAATGGAAGGAGCTGTAGAGCATGCTCAACAGCTTCTGTTTCTCCACATGCACAAGGGCATAATTTATTCCCATCTCTTTCTGATATGGAACCCCAAATTATCCCCTCTCGAAAACCACAGGAGGTAGAAAAGTAAATTGCTGGAGTTTTTACAACCTCGCATGATGGCTGTAATCTGCTGACTGGGAGGGACTTTTTTAGGCCAGGGTGACTGTCAGTCTATCCAGCACTAACTAATTGTTCCTTCCCACCACTGAAGTCAAAGAGAGCCCTGCCTCTCTGCTCCGTGTTCCTTTCCCTCTCTTCGTTGGAAACAGTGGTTATTTGTTTGCTGTTGATCTATTCATAACTGTAAGTAATGAAACATGTTTTAATTCTTTCTCCTACAAATGTCTCAGAGTGAGTTACGGAGATCTTAAGTGCCCCTTCATGAGAAAGGGGTGGACTATTTCGGGAACTTGAAGCTATTCTCTTCTGGGAGTCTCTGCACGTCAATATGACCGTTCCTGATTTACGGCAGTCCAGTTACAGCCCCCTGGTTGCTCCATTTATTCTTACAAACCTGCACGTCTGCCGCCCAGCTAGAGGAATATGACCGTTCCTGATTTACGGCAGTGCAGTTACAGACCCCTGGTTGCTCCATTTATTCTTACAAACATTGTGCAGGGAAATCTCACAAGTGCAAAGAAACCCATGATGATATGTTTCCTCCCATGGGATGCCGAAGAGATCACCTAGGGAACCAGCTCTGGTCTGTATTAAAGAGCGTCCCTCGAAGACAGAACAGCAGGCTGGCGGAAAGCTCTCCTCTTGACCTTCAACCACATTCAAAATTAACGTTATTCACAACGGGGCTCAAGCAGTGGGTAGCCACACAGTTATTATGGAGGGATTAGAGTCTTCTGAATACAGAGCCAGAAAGGGGCTGATTCTGTTTATGAGGGAAAGGGGAAAATCTAGGCCATGTCATCTCATG